TGATTTTCTCTTATATACATTTAGTTCGTTCTATAAAAGAAGAAGAAGGAGAAGAAGGAGAAGGACAAGAAGAAGAAGAAGAAGAAGGAGAAGAATAAGAAGAAGAAGAAGGAGAAGGAGAAGAAAGAAGCCGTAGAAATGGTTACTGTAGTATCTCAAGAAGACATGGCGGCTCTGGTTTCTCGAACTGGAAGACAACTTCAGCGTTACAACAAAGCCGGCCGCCGTCAAGTTGTTGGGTTGGTCTCCCTCCCTCTCTCTCTCTCTCTCTCTCTCTCTCTCTCTCTCTCTCTCTCTCTCTATATGTATATATATGTATATCTATAATGTATGTATATATGTGCATGTATCACCTCTCAAAAGAAAATTTTTCCTCTGAACTTCTTCTCAGCTCTTCGGAGATGTCATTTTGACATGAATTAAACTCAACTAAATATTTTGGTTTTTGATTTTCTTTTTTATTATATTTTCAGTAATTAATTTGGATTACTATAATTATTTGCTTTTTGAGAGTTTAATTATTATATTTTCTAAAGCAAAAATTATTTTTAGATCTAGAAAATAGCTTTAAATATTGCAAAGGTTAAATGTTACATTAACAAAGTTTAATTAAAAAACATAAAATTTTTTTATGTATAATAAACATAATGTATTTACAAATAAAATTTGTAAATAAATATAATTGAAATTTTTTTCAAATCATTCTGTAGGTAAACACAAATACTGGGTTTGATGCAAATTTTGATTATATAGAATACAAATATATATATATATATATATGAATATAAGTACAATAAAATTTTAAATCTTTAAAGTAACATTTTGATTTTAAGTTAATTTTATTTTCAATTTACATTAAGTATTTTTTAAAAAAGTTTTTTTCTAATAAACTAATATAAACATAATTTCGTACTATAAAATTAAATATGTAAATAAAATAATATTATGTACCCAAATTTAAATTATAATTAAATATTACGTAATAAAAAATTAATATTTAAAAATAAAAAGTTGTACTTTAATTGAGTAGGACATGCATTAATTGCCATGACTTTATTATGTTGTTGAATCATATCCATGGCATGCCTACCCATAACATATTTTAATATTTTTTAATTAAAAATAAATAATTGCGTGGCGTGAAATTATTGGATGTCAAAATCAAAGTGGGCCCACGGCCCACCATTCATCTTCAGAAACCGGCCTGTCTTATTATGAACGTGGGCCCCACTACTCTCATCAGACAAGTTGACTGCCAACAACTTTAGAAATTTTAATAATTGTAATTATTAAAATTAAATACTTAATTTTTCTCTTTATTTATATTATTTACATTTGATTTAATACAATCTTAATGTAATATATACATATATATAAATATAAGTCATAATTAATTAATTATAATTAACTTAATAATTATCTCAATTTTTCTTTTTATTAGAGGGTTTGGAATATACAAATTCTTTATATATTATATTGCATTAGAAAAATATAAATCATAATTTACTTAATAATAATTATGATTACTTAGTAGCAAGATTTGGGATTAAATTTTTAAATATGGAGGATTATTTTGCTTGATTTTATCAATTCTATAGTGTATAATTAGTTTAATTTCAATTGGGTATATGTATATATATTTATATATGTGTGTGTGTTTTTATTCTGATTTTTGGGTATTTTGTGTTGATCATTTTTTCAGATGTATACCATATAGATATAAAATGATGACGGACGAAAACTCCTTAGAGGGTGAAGAAAATTTACAAGTTCTTCTCATCAGTTCACAGAAAGGCAAAGGAATGTTGTTTCCTAAGGTATGTAGTGTATGAATATATACATATATATATCTATTAAAGAAAAACACCCTTTTCATTTTTCCTACACACACACATATATGTATATATATTTGTGATATATACGATATCAATTTACAGGGAGGATGGGAATTAGATGAATCCAAAAAAGAAGCAGCTTCTCGGGAGAGTCTTGAGGAAGCTGGTGTACGCGGCATTGTTGAGGTAGCTTATTACTCTCTTCAATCCCTTTCGGTATTTCTCTCCGTATAAATTGTAGGTTTAAATTATATCGTGTGTGTCGGGAATTGACGATCGATATATTTCTCTACATATAAATTGTGGGTTTTAATCGTGTTATATATTATTATATATTCATATTAAGAGATTGTATTACAATTATAATTATGTAATTTAATTAATAAAATAAAAATTAAATAGAGTTTTTGTTTCTTTTGTTATTTTTTCAATTTTTGGCAGGCTAAGTTGGGTAAATGGATTTTTAAGAGCAAAACTTATGATACATTCTATGAAGGATACATGTTCCCTCTATTTGTTCAAGAAGAATTAGATATCTGGCCTGAGAAAAACGTTCGTAAAAGACAATGGGTATGCTTACTACATACCTATATACATATATATATGTATATGTATTCTTACTTTGTATTTGGTTTAATTCTTATATAATTATTAGTAAGTCTTTTAATTTTAATTTATTCATTTAAATTTTTGCATAAACCCTTAAAAATTATGTTTATTGACTTCGATTATTACATAAAATAATGTTACAGGTGAATGTGACAGAAGCTCGGAGAAGTTGCCAACATTGGTGGATGAAAGAAGCTTTAGATATATTAGTTCGACGACTTGCAACTCAACAACGACATAATCATTTTACTCATAAAGAAATAGGGTATTCTTCTTTAAGCTAATGTGAAAAAGCTAAGGTGATAATAAATTGTATATACACAATCGTGAGATATGTAAAGAAGAATTTGAGAGTCCAAACGAACAAGATCCAAGATCAAGAATAGAAAACTTGTAGTTGTTTGGAGGGAAAAAAAAAACACTAGAAATGTGAAGAGAGAAATATGAAAATTTACTTATTGAGAAATATGAGTTTGTAGAAATTTTGAGAAAATACAAATAATTCAAACCCTATATATATATTTACACACACACACACACACGTAGACACACATGTATGATATATATCACCTCTTACATGCATGTATTGTAATTAAAATTTATATGGTAATTAAAATGGTACGAGGAAAAGGCATGTATGGCAAGTTAAACTAAAATTTCATTAAAACTAAGATTTAATTGAATATAAAAAATTATATTAATTATATAATTAAAATTTTTTAATAATATAATAAATAAAACATTAATGTTGGGCTAATATAATAGAACTTTAGAGGGAGCCCTTAAAAACCCAAAATGGATCGGCTCCCTCCTTATCATGACGGGCTCTTGTCCTTATTTATACTACAAAATGTAATGTGTAACTACACAAACTGACCTTACTAGGGATTCCGTCATTTCACTTATTCGCACTAAATAACGAGTTAATGAATCTCCTTCTTTTTGTCACTGGACTTTCTAATCAAATTCGTCGTAACACTCATAATGATTATTTTTACGAAGATTCCATTCTATCTCAGACGTGCGTAGCATTAGTCCGGATAAACCCTAATTTATTGCTTCTTCTCCACCAATAATGCCTATTCCTTTTAACTCGTTCCAAAAAAATAGGATTTCGTGTAATAAGCTTGGAGGTCAGGAGAAGAAGGTAGCTTTGGAGGGGAGATTGACAATGACAATATATACAATACATATATGTATATATGCGTGTGTGTAGAGGTATATGTATAAAGACATGTATATGGCTTGGTGGAGTGTTACAACACAAATGTAAAGTCGATGCCTAACCAGAAGACAAACTGTCATTAAATCTTGAACTGACATATTTTTAGTGTGGCTTTCTCTCCAACCTTCGTCTCCTTCTTCCAAATCCGACCTCGTTTTATCCACCAAAATTATTTTAAAAAAGAAAAAAATAAAAAACATATATATATATATGTATATATATATATACACGCACATACACACAGAAAGAGATAGAGAGAGACGTACTCGTCTTGTTTGGGAGCGAGAACAAGAACTTGCAGCATTAAATTCTCTGCCTCACAATTATATATGTATATACACACGCATATGTCTTGCAAGGGATATAATTGTTTACAACCCAAAAAAATTAAATTTAAAGTTTAAAAAAAAAATAAAAGTATGTGCTATATATACATATATATATATATAAAATTATAATTCTATGTAAAATCTCAATAGAAGAAAAGTATGAAAAAAGTTGACTATATAATCTATGGAAGAGGCCAAATCGATACAAAGTTGCTATCATATATATAGGACCACATTATATGATCGACTGATTAATATATATATGTATATATAAGCATTTGTGTATGTATAATAAGAGTAATTAACTGTTTATTTTTCAAATATTATGATAGTATATTCATAATTTTACCTACAAAGTAGTAATGTATATGTGTATTATAACGTTTGATATATTTACCTTTTCATATGAAGATAAGAATTTGATTCTTGGATTATATATCTATTACATTTTTATTAAAAAGTTATATGTATTATCTATCGATATTTATATATATATATATAATTTTTCACTAAAATAAATTATACGTAAAGATTAGTATATAAATTTTTAGTGGCATTCGACATCCCGTGACCATGCAAGAGAAGGCCCACAACTCCATTGTCCACAAACTCACATGTTGATGTACCTCCAATTTTGATTTCGTTGTCTTCCCAAATTTTTTTCTGACCTAATTAAAGGGCACAAAATTTTTTTAGTCAATTATGAAATTTTACTACCCAAATTAAAATTTTATATTCTTCTATTATTATATTTCTATAATTACTTTCGTAAAAAGTTATTTGTTACGTTGTTTAAACAATGAGAATTTATTAAATTCTTCTTACGATCAAGACCTGTAAAAATTCATAAACGCATAGCAATTAAGTCAAAAAAAAAATCTAAAATTATTAGAATAAAAGAATAAATTTTAGAGAGTTTCAAAGTTAAAACGAGATATTTATAACTTATCTAAAATAACAATATATCTATCTTTTAACTTGATACACGTAACTCGGGCATGTGCCATCCTTTCGACAACTATTAACAATGCAATTACTATTTTATTTTATATATTAATACAATGCTTTAATTAGTTATTAGATTTCTATAATTTTTTTTTTTTTAAGAAATGACTAAAATTTGATCTCATATATATATGTATGTATATATATAATTTTTAAGTAAAATTAACGCAATTAATTTGTAATTTTATTAAAATTTATGGAATTGGGATGTATTTTAAACATGTTCCAAACAAAACTTTTATCTACTAACAATTTTAACTTGGGTTTGGCAACAGACTTCAGAACTAAGGTTTCCTAATGAATAGAAGAAATTAAGAGTAGATAGTGCGATTATACAGTTGGGTTTATATGTCTTCATCCCAAAAAGTTTCATGCTTTATACAAACTTTATATTTCATGTATCCAAACAAGCCCTCCAATTCTCAATACAATAATTTAAGAATTCCAAAACCAAGATAATGAATTGAAGCTTTTCCAATGAACTAATTCAAAAATAATAATAAAAGTAATAACCCACCAAATTTAATAAACTATTTCTTTATATTTGCTTTAATAATAATAACAATAATAATAAATTTAAATATTATATGTAACTTTTGTGTATGACTTTAAAAAATTAAAAAATTCACTTAATCTTTTGTTTTTGTACTGACAAACTTAAAGAATTTAATATATATATATATAATATGATTTTTATGTATATTTTCATCTACTAAGAAAGACTATAATTGTCAAACAGCTTATCCAAATAGCATACATACATTTAATTTTTTATTAGAAATAGAAATAATCAACTTAGGGTTTATTGTATGCTGTTAATCATTATTAACTTTTGATAATTAATTATTATTTTATAAAACTCCATTTTCACTTTCGTATCTTATAACTAACTAGTGGAGAGTCATGAAGCATTATTATTTTTGTACTGCATGGCTTTTATTTATGTGGTTATATGTATGTATACTTAGGTGTATATATACATATATATATATGAAGAAAAGTTGAGATTTTTAACATTCACCTTATAAATCTTTACATATCCCCCCATCCATCAAGTTTACTTCGAACTCTCTCTTCTACTTTCTCCCTGGCATTAAGCTTTTGTCTGTTCAAACATGGCGAAGGCGAGAGCTTCTCTTCTGATAATCTTCACATTCACCATTCTCCCACTCCCTTCATTTTCCTCCTCAACAGACTCCTTCATCTACGGCGGCTGCACCCAGCAAAAATACACCCCTGACTCACCTTACGAGTCAAACGTCAACTCGCTACTCACCTCCCTTGTCAACTCAGCCACCTACTCCTCCTACAACAACTTCACCATCATGGGTTCGAACCCCCAAGACGTCGTCTACGGCCTCTACCAGTGCCGCGGCGACCTCTCCATGCCCGACTGCGCCACCTGCGTCGCCCGCTCCGTCACACAGCTCAGCTCCCTCTGCTCCCGCACCTGCGGCGCCGCCGTCCAGCTCCAAGGCTGCTACGTCAAATACGACAACGCCACCTTTCTCGGCGTCGAAGACAAGACGGTGGTTTTCAAGAAATGTGGACCGTCCGTCGGCTACGATACGGAGACAATGGGTAAAAGAGACGCCGTTATGACGGGAATCGTTAACACCGGTGGGCCCTACCGGGTCGGCGGTTCCGGCGACGTCCAGGGAGTTGCCCAGTGCGTGGGGGACTTGAGCGTGGGGGAGTGTCAGGATTGCGTGGCGGATGCGATCGGACGGCTGAGAAACGATTGTGGGATGGCGGTTTACGGTGATTTGTTTTTAGGCAAGTGTTACGCTAGGTACTCTACGGGTGGGTCCCATTTCTATTCCCCCCTGGCCCATCACGGTAAATTCAGATTTTACTGTTTTTTTTTTCTTTTACCATTTTAATTTTGATTAACAGTAAATAATTTTTTTTTTTTTTTAACCTTTTTCAATTTTAGATAAATCAACCAACGATGGTGAGAAAACCTTTGCAATCATCATTGGATTATTAGCCGGAGTTGCTCTGCTCATTATTTTCCTCGCTTTCCTGGGAAAAGTTTTCCAGAGAAATGGTAAAATTTTACAAATTTATTTTTTTAATTCATTCTTAATTTTATATTTTGAATTTTTTATTAATTTATTCTTAATTCAATTTCCGAATTTTAATTTTTTAATTTTTTTAATTATTTTTTTTTTCCATGCAGGTAAATGAAAAGAAAATTTGACGACCAAAATGGAGTTGAAACACAAAGCTTCACGATATCAACTTTTAATTTCCTTAATTTTATTTTTTGGGTAATTTATATATATATATATATGATATTATATGTTAATTATTCATGAAAAGGAGAGATGGGAAAGACGAAAAAGGAGGGAGAAAAAAAGTTGTGAGATTCCACTCTTCAAATCTCTCCCACTTTTAACTATTAAAGTTGTATGGTGTAATGTGAAGAAATGGAGTATTCTTTTTGTAAAGTTGGAAACCTTGTTTCCCTTTTCTTTTTTGTTTATTACTTTTCATTTATTTATCACATATATATATATATATTATATACACACACAAATGTGAGACAGTATATACTTATAAATTCAACATTAATCATGGTACTTCTGATATCGAAAAATAATTTCATTCATTTTATTTCAAATGATTTATACCATTGTAAAGAAAAAATAAGTTCCAACTCGTAATTCTATATAAATTAGTTTAAATTTATAAATTTTTATGTAATAAGAGGTATAACATTTAAACGAATTATACATCTTGATTGAGTCGTGAATATATAATTACAATATTACAAATATTTACCATATGCTTGTAGTTTTATGTAAATTAAAATGTTAGTTATAGAATTTATAATAATTAATTTGCATTGTATTAGGAATTAAATACGCCTAGGGATGCCCGATTGATGAATGTTGTACCCATCATTCTATATATATTTTATAATCTTGCTTGTGCCACTAGATATTTCATTATCATTATTTTAATAATATATATATATATATATATATAATCTATGATCTCCCATGAAAAGAATAATTTTTGTGCTTCGAGCAAAATTGGATCTCGAATGAAAAAGGTTTTCGACTCTTTCTCCTCACAATAAAGTCACGACTGTGTTATTATATTGTAGAATTGAATTATTTTACAACCCACCAAGAATATAAGATATATATTTGATTTAAATTTATTATATTTTTAATTAATTTTTAAAATTTAAACATTTAATGTACAATTAAATTAGTTTTACTTTTATAATTAATTTAAATTATATACTGATAAGTAAATAAAAGTATGAAATCAAAGGAAAAAAAAAAGTGTAAAAGGGTTATTGAGTATATCCCACGTGTGTTGAATAGGGCACGTGTGACATAAAATTAATGATGAGATGCAAAAGATACTTGGTATGTGACAACTTTATTTTCACATTTCTTATGATTAGACTTTGAAGAATCCCTACTTATTGACTAGGGAAGTGAATTCATGTACAACTTTTGTTTGAAAAAAGTTATGATTGATGAATATATATATATATATATGTATGTATGTATGTATGTATATATAACCATATGATTATGGTATCAAAATTTGATGTCGGAGAATTTTAGGTTAGACAATGTTAATTTTTGGGTGTTGAGAATTTTTCATTTTTAATATGATTCTACGAAAATTTTTCTCCTATGATTTTCTAGTCCTAAAATAAAATTTGTAAAATATAGTTTGATCTTCACTCATAAAATTTGGTTTTGTAATAACTTATGGGATAAATAAAAATATTAATTTTCAAGATTAACTTTTACCTACTCTTTCAATTTAAAAAAAAAATGTATCTTTGTAATTTTAGAAAATATCAAATTGTATTTTGATATTGAATCTAAATAGTACATAAAGGACTACTTGTAAAGGTCACCAAAACTTTACGGAAAAGAATATATATATTGTAGTGGCGGAAGCAAATAATAATTTAGAATTTTTGTTCTTTATACAGTAAATTGGGATGCTTAATAGGATTACGGAAATGTTCATTTTTTAAAAAAATTAAAATAACAAAAACAGAAATGAAGCTAAAATCTTATGGAGTTAACCTTCGCTGATAACTTTGATGAGATCCAGGAGTTAACCTTTACTCGCAACTCTTTTGTTGTTCAGGATCTGTATCTTGGTTTTTTTTTAATTTGAAATAATTAAATAGTAAGATAAGTTATATTATCCTAGTAAGAATATCATAATAAACACTGATACGAAAAATAAAAGATTGGTAAAAATTATAAAACAAATAATGGAGGTCTTATAAATTCATTTAACATAAAACTGTTTATTCCATACTTACCGTTATGAGTTTCCAAAATCGACCTATAAAGATAATAATTCAAATAACATTATGATTTCATATACAAGTGAACAAAAATAACAACTTTCCTTTTTATCTGCTTATTGGTACCTCTGGGTATCCATAGGGATGTCTCTTTACGCGTGAGCCCAATATCTAAATTTGTCAATTAACCGGTCGTCTCCATACCCTATCCGGTAATGGGCGCCAAACACCATCACTTCGATAGCCCGTCCGGTATGAGAGTGAACCATATCTTTCAAACCCTTCGGGTATGGGACTTCTCAGCCCTCATCCAACTGAAGTAATGTCCACAGTAGAGTTCCCTATGTACTGGGTTCGTTTATTCTTTCCTAGGGTACCAAGTAAGCCTTTCATACATAGGTTCATACTATTAATCAATTACCAGTTACATACTAATATTTCATATTTACATATTAACCGTAAGTCATGCAAATAGGCGATACGTACATTAAAAAATATGATAGAGACATTTATTGCAAAACAAATCAATAAATGAAGGTTATGCAGTTAGGTAAACTAAATAATCGAGAAAGCAATTAAAATTAGAAATTTAATGCACACAATATAATAGTAATAATTTTAAGCAGTACAGAAGAAAATAAACAGTAAACTAGGACAAATATGCACTGATCGGTTCTGACTCCACTAGTAACTTCTAATTATTTTTAAGGTTTTTTAATTTTCACAAAACATAGTATTATCGATTATTATGCTTCAATTTACCGT